CGGTGTGCAAACACTTCCCTCTTCTCCTGGCCCACCACGAATGTCACGTCGCTGCAGAGAAGGAGAGATGGCCATGAGGGACAGGGCATCCAGCACCCCGGAGGCAGAGCTGCGGGCATACCAGGCCTGGGCCAGGATCCCCCTGGGACTAGGACAGGGGATGTCTGCCTCAGTGATGGGGGAGCATGTCTCTTCCGCACATCAAGTAGCCAGAGCAGGACAACATCCTTTATTTTTAGCACAGGAGCTTTTCCCAGGGGAACCATGGAGGGGCCTGGGTAGGCTTTGCTGTTTGCTGCTCCTGGGAAGATGCTTCCTCTGGAAGAAGCAGAAACCCATGGGTGCCAGCCCAGCCCTGAGCAGAAAAAGGATGGAGCCTACCAGAGAAAGTGGCGTTCGCGTTGAGAGCAGCAAGATGAAGGGAAAGACCAGCTGCACAGCTCAGCACCGAGCGCTGCCTCCTCGGCTCACGGTGGCTGGCCAAGTGCTGCAGGGTGCGAGAGGCTCTGGAAAGTGGAGGGCCCACCCCGCAGAGTCAAGGTCTGTCCCACCGCCCTGCCTCCCCACAGCTCCCCAGTGTGGACTGGGACCTCGGCTGCTCCACGTCCTTGAGCAGAGAGGCAGCACAAGGGAGCAGGGAGGCAGAGCAGGGGTGAAGAGCAGGGAGGATTTGGAAAGTCTCCATTCAGGGTGTGCTGGGCAGGGCAAGGTCCATCCATCTCCTCATCCTCTCCTCCGCTCGAGCCCCCATCCCAGCGAGCAGGAAGGGGCTCTGCATTGCCGTGACCTGCCCAAACCCATGTTCCGCTGGCCACGGGGCTGTGCTCAGCCACACCAAGCAAAGCCCGACCCTTGCCATGGCCCAAAGGGGGACGTGCCCAGTGGGCACCCAGCTCATCCCACACGTGTGTCGTGGCTGTCGTGAGCTCTACGCAGAGCTGGACAGCGGGCCGAGGGGTGCTGGGGCCAAGGGAGGTGTGAGCACAGCCCTCGGGGCTTTCCCTGAGAGTTCTGCAGGAGGGGGCGGGGGGTTGAAATAAACTGCTCTGTGGCTACAGTCCACAGGCAAAGTGCGGGATGCAGGATGCAGACTGCGGGATGCAGATTGCGGGATGCAGATCATGGGATGTGGGATGCAGATTGGGGGATGCAGGATGCAGATTGGGGGATGCAGGATGCAGAATGAAGGATGTGGGATGCAAGACGCGGGATTTGGGATGCTGGTTTCAGGTTGCAGGATGTGAGATGTGAGATGCAGGCTGGGACCGCAGGCAGCCAGACCCTGGCAGCTTCCCTACCGCGTGGCAGTGCAGCCGGGGAGTTTTCTCAGGGATTTCTCTTCTGCGGGGATGGGGATTTCCTCAGACGCAGCCAGCTTTTGTGCCAGTCCTTAGCATGAAGCGGGCAAAGAGGACCACGCAAGCCAGCCAGCTGCCGGGCAGGAGGCGGCTGGTAGGCGGGAGAGGCAGACGAGACAGCTGTCCATCTTCCCTCCCTGCTTCAGAAGGAGGTGGGGGGACAGAATAACCGAGGCGACACTTGGAAACGAGAGGGAGCAGAGGTGCTCCCGGGGGAGGCGCGCAGCCAGCTGCGGCTCCTGAGGACGAGGGTGCACCGGAGCGACAGCGCGGGATTTCAGCAGTGCCTGCGCTGCCGTATCGTGCCCCTCGCCCCCCCTCCCTGGGGGAGGGG